TGTAGAAACTGAACTGAACTGAACCCGGTACATGACGAGGATCAGGTTATTGAAACAGTTTAATTGAGCAATACTGGACTGACTATCAAGTCTGACGGGGCGTAAGAAGTATCCAGAATGTAAGAACTATCTGAAAGTAGAAGCATTTCGGAGCTGGTAGATTGTCGGGATCTTTTATCATCACATCGACTGCAGTCATTAACCAACTCTCGTCTACGGCTCCGAAAAACTGAGACATACAACAGCGGCCATACCAGTTGAAACAAATTTAGGATAACCGAAATCTTCACCTTGGTGGGCACACCAAACACACTGCTTGATCCCAAGGAATTCTGCCAAAACCGCGGGCATGTATGGATTCCTGGGTGGGATTCAAGTCTATCGAATGAGTTCCAGAGAAGCCACAGACAACCGTGCCCCAACGAACTGCTGTCTTGGCGCCGTAATTGTAAAGATTGGTGTTAAATATAAATATCATTCAGTGTCTAACCGCTGGTTAAGATCATCCCGAGGTCCCCATCAAGGCAGCCTAAAAGGAGCTGTATGACCAAGTATCCTAGTTTGGCTTTTTGTGCCATCGTGCCAGTTCTTATTTTCACCGCCCTTGGTATTTTTCCACCCACTACCTTCCTCAGGAAACATTGCGCGCCATGGAAATCTAATTGTAGGCATGCATCACACGCCCCAACAAACGTTATCTATGGAGGTCGATCACTCGCTCCAGTGGGTGACCTCGGATACCTAAAACTCTGCGACCAACCTCACAACTGTTCTACCAGATTCGTGCAATGCTGAGTAGATAGCGTTGTTCAAACACCGACAGTCTATATTCAAACTATTTTCTTAATGGCCACATTTCTGCGCTGTATAACAGAACTGGTCAAAACGCAGCAGCATATACTCGATCTTTACAGACAGTCGGATGCCGCAGCGGCGCCACAGATGTCTCAGGTTTGCAAATGCTAACCGAGTCTTCTGCATGCGAGCTGACACTTCATCCATGATGCGTCCACCGGGTGAGATATAGCTGACCAAATAACAACACGTCTCCCCCTGCTCTATTACTTACCCAGTTAGAGTGAGTCTGTGAGCTGGATAAAACCAGTCTTGTAGCGACGTTTTGCACTTTAAAGGTGCAAAACACATACAGAACATAGTTGCGCTGGCACTCAAGCTATCCAGAAAAGCTTCCAATTTACCTAGATCTTCACTTAGTAGCACAATTTCGTCTACACATTCTAGATCGGACAGTCTGCCACCTGGGAGTAAATGGATACCGCTATAGTCTCAGGGGGATAGGGGTTTGACCCCATCAAAAGAGCGCATGACTCAATAAATTGGACATCGGGCCCCTGTGGGTTGCGGTTCTCACACCGCCTTTCAACTCAAGCATTGGTTAGTTGAAAGCTTCGATTGTGAATTACTCAAGGAAATTCACCTGTCTTGACCTGAGCAACCTAGCACCATTCCGCCCACAAACAAACCATTAAACTCCCTTTTTATAAGGATTATTATACTACGATTTGTTTGACACATAGTTTGGGTGCAGAGGTATGTAAGATACGCGTAAATGGCCATCAAGATAGTAATCTAGGGGTTTTGAGTTCGAACCTTGCCACCGCCACCCTTGTTCCTCAGTTCTGCATTTTTCTAGACAGACTGCATAGCTACAGCCCGCTTCGTGAAAGTGGACTGTACATTTGTATATTTATTAAACAAAAAGGAATTGCGTGGTTTTTCACATACCACCGCCATCTGTAGGTGTTTGCCATATGGTCACAATCTGAGTCCACTTCTGTACAGAACAGTGGCTAGGTGACACGTCGGGTGTCTGAATTTCGTGCAAACGAGGAACACTGTGTTCTGAGCATATGGTAAGACGTTTATTACCATTACCTGAACAAAAGTTATCAAGATCACGGTGGTCACCAACACAAGCCTTATCGGACGATCGACCTGCCAAACAGTGTGTTTAGAACTCCGACCATAATCAAAATATCCGTTCTGGGTGAATGGATAAGAAGCCGAGGAACGATGTTATAGAAGCTATCTTTAATTGCATCCGGGATACAATGTGACAGTAGAGAACTCATGTAGACTAAGACTGCAAGGAAATTGAACAAATGCACAAGCTTCACCGTTTACGACACCCAATTATATCACTAACCTTCGATTACAACAATTCCGAAGTTCCCATCGAGGAAGCCTAACGCAACCCATATGACAGTCTCACGTTCGGTGTTTTCACATTCCCATGCTCGATCTTAGTTTGACCAGTCTTGACATTTTCCATCCACTACCTGACTCGGCAAAGGTCTCGCACCGGAGCAATCTCTTCGGTGCCATGAGCAACACATGTTCCAACCAACGTAATGTATGCCGGCCAACCACATGTCCCAGGAGGCGACTGTGATTAACTATTAATCTGTGCCAAACATCTGCATTGCTTTTCCGATTGACCTTCCATATTTGTGCAATGCGTGTTCTAACATCCATAGACTGTCTTCATCGAGTTCCCGTAACGGTGTGAGTGCATGCTTTTGTGCGTTTGGATGTGTGGACCAGCGTACAGTAATCCGTCAATCGATAACTAAACAAATATACTGATCTTATAGCCCAGATCGCATGGAAATGACCGACGGAATGAGAAGAGATAGATCCACGAAGTGAACGTTAAGTACGCAGAGACAAACAAGAGGAAACCACCGAATCCCTTCCAACCCAACTTTGTGAACCAAAACAGTCAGTGAACTTTCAAGATTTCGTTTTGATCACAATCAAGGAAAAAAGCTTCTTCCCAACTGTGAATAAGTTCGTATAAAATAGGTTTTACTGGATAATAAAGAACAAACCAGTAGAAAACGGATTCCGGCTATTGATCTCAACTAAACTATATGAACTGCAACCTTTAGCCATAGTACTGATGAGGAGTGATACCATAAATTCAATACGGAACTGACCAATTGCTCTTCTATCTATGGTAATGTTCTCGTGCCCGAACGGTCTCATTGTTTCTAATCATATGCACCCAAAATTCAATGAATACCAACGTCCTGGGAAAACGTGGAGGTTAAGCCGATCGTCAAACGCGTTTGCCCAAAGTTTTCGCACTTCAATAACGTGACTGGGATATAATCCCTTTGCTAGTGAAAGGAAAATGCGCAAAAATATTTTCGTCAGATTTATACTCCAAAATATCGTTTTTTTTATGGATGATAGCCGGAAGCGCTCCCAGTTCCGTGTTGAATAAAGCTACGTTCCCTGATGTATTTAGACCATCAGTAAAACGGACAACTTTGAAATCGCGATTTCAAGCAGAAAATTGGGCCTCGTATATTGATTAAGTGAATTTTCTTAATAAATTCACTATCGAGGCCTTTGGCTTGCTAAAGCCTGACCCGCAACCCATTGGGGCCTGATGTCCAGTTCATCGGATCATACGATGGATGGGGTCAACCGTCCGATGTGCCCAATACACCTCAATGCTCAGTCGAGCGACTGATCGCTGTACCGATCCGGGAGATATGTGTGCCTTTTTTTGGTTGGCTTGGAATCAGAGTTCTCAGCCAACTTCCCTAGGTGAACTGTCATGGTTCATCGACCCCGTTATAATTCCGGATGTTGCTGTTTCGTCCTCTCTATTTGGTGAGAAAACAACTCCGCTAAGCGAAGGCGGTGAGTAGGCCTTCCTAAGCAGAGAATTAATGGAACACGGTTGTATAGCAGCATTTAGCTTTTGGTTGAGAAATCAAATATAAAGAAAGAGTAAAAGTAACAACCTAGCCCAGTCCGAGGAGATCACCAAGGTTGGATTCCTCGAATGGTAAGATCTGCCTCTCAATGAACGCAACAGCCGCGCGGTGTGGACAACTGATCGCGAAAATGTTTGTTCGGTTAAACTAAAGGGCGAAGGAGATTGATTCGTCTGACACCTCAGAATAGCACACATGCGCATGCCTACAGACTTATCCATTCATAAAATTTGATCATGAACATGGTCAATCTCTGGAGAGAAATCTACATGTGAAAACGGCTGATCGCAGCGACAAACATACAGCGACAGAGAAAAGGACATAAAGAGAGGGGAATTTGATATTTCATCATTCTAGAAAGTGAATTGTGACACAGTAACACCGGAAGCTGCAAAAGCAGTCACCGACAACGCTATCAAGGCGGACAGAGCACAGGGACTGGAATTGTCATGTGGGGAAAGGGTGAAAAAAGAAAGTATATGAAAATGGAATCACGCAGACCCGGTGCAATATATGGTCAGGTGTGTGTGTGTGTGTTCGCATCTCCATGCACTTAATCACATATCATATTCAACGCTAGGAAAGAGGTGCAATGGAGTGCAGTGTGACAACGACAAAGCCCCAGAGAGGTCACGACGGCACAGAGAAGCGATACATCTGACATTCGTAATCGTGAAATCGATTCGGTATTGGTATGTATGTATTTAACTGCAGGAAAAACAATTTGGATCTTCCTTATTTGTTGGAGGGGAGAGGGAAGGAGAATGAGTGGATCGTCAAGGCAAGTCAGAGATGTGCGTGACTAATAACCTGAAACGGGGGAGCGAAACAAAAGGGGTTTGGAGACACGCACAGACTGAATGATGATGATGATGATTCGTCCATTGTGAAGAATCAATCCGCTGGAGCATCGGTACGACGGAAAATGTAGATATACGCGTGCCGATAGGGTGGTGCTTCACTTTTCGCTACTTTCTCGTCATTGAAAATAACCCATTCATCCGAATCACCATCGCAAGGAGGTGAGCCCAAAAACTCTACCGGAGGCTCGTAAGGAATAGACTTGGCCAGAGCGGTTCGTTTGATGTGAGCCACGTAATGACCGTCCTGGGGAACAAGAAATCAGCGAAAAACAACGAGTTTGCGTATGTAAAAAATGTCCTCTGATTAGTGTAAGAGGAAAACAGTTTCATTCAATTGTCAGTCTTTGTGTAAATCTAGAGAAATTGTCAAATGTGTTTCCAGCACACAAACAAAAATACTGAGATATTTAGACCTCTACCCCTGGAACTAACCCGGCAGTAACCAACCACATGCAACTACACGCACACACACACGCACAGTATAAGACCGAACTGGATTTCTTAATTTAATTCATTTTTGTCTATCTTGTGTAATGTTATACGTTGGCAACCGATGTGATTTTACGCGAGGAATTCCTCCCACAGTGTGTCTTCTTACTTGCCCATGCAAACAGAAATGCAACACAATTAGTTTCAATGTGTAATGAGGTACTGAGCGTCATCCGAATTGATTGAGTGATTAAAAACTCTCTCGGATCAAGGGGGGGGGTTGAATCCCAAAAGATTCAGTGGACATGCATTGCCGATTATTCTTAATAACGGTGTTCAGCGATGAGCAACACGTTAAATCAGCTTGGTGGGTACACAACAACAAACAAACCAAATAGATTAGCTATCATCCTGCCAACTCTATCTGAGCACACAATCTTCCATTCATCCGACACACCATCCACTCAGGAAAAATCAGACTCGAATTTCGCTTCGATTAAATCACTGACAAACGAGTACGGTTGATTAAGTGTCAGGTGTCATACTAAATTGTTAAGCATTACCAGGGTAGTCGCAAGTGCACTGATTCAAGGAAGCCCCGGAGTTGCATAGATGACGCCGAAGTCCATCCTCGCTACGAACGGTCTGTGAACAACACTTTCAGCTCGGAGAACACACCAACACCAAAACAATCACTGTAATCATGATCCAAAAACAAGATTATTAACAGCTAGGAAGATACTCAGTTCGCTCTGAACTGGGAAGAACTTGCTGTGCACCCCAACATCACCTGTGGTGCATGTGCCAATTCCTGGTCAAAGTTAGCGATTCCAGAGATCGGTGGAACAAACGCGGGAGAGGCAGTTGACGCAATGCGCGTGAACAGCGTGATGATGAAATACGGTCAATCTACGAAATGAGATCAAGCAAACAGTGTCAATAATCGAACAATGGTACTCACTGTGGTTGATTTGCCCATATGACTGATGAATGCGCATAATTCGTAAGTGGAACTACCATCTGTCAATTGTGAACCTGGCTGCGTGGTGGCGGCCGCTTCAGTACCAGTCATGCTGCTCGGTACATCGGGACCGGTCGCAGTCACCGAGACCGCTTTATCCGAGTCCGGAGCGTTCAACGCGTCCGGATTTGAGAATGCCCAGTCGACTGCCGCTTCCAAATTGTTATTCGCGTGCCGCAGTGCCTTGACAGCCTGAAATGCGAAATGATAAACGGGGAGGTTGTTCATAAACGGATGAGTGAGGGAAGACACAAAGGGAGAGCACAAGTCTAAAGGACCTTCTCCCATACAGCAAAAAGTGTCAGTACCTCTGAGGTCGGATAGGCTTCGTTTATCCCCGGGAACTGCTGCCGTGGAATGCAACTCTTAAAGGGATTGTCGGAGAAGTCAACAAAAGATTGCCTCGTAGGAAGACCGTTATCAATAAAGAGGACAAAAATCAACCGATTTTCCCCATTTCAAATGACCGAGGAGAGATACGGAACAGATTCGGGACACATTAAGTTCGAAAGTCACCGAAGAAGCAAACTATGTATTAACGGTGCAATACAAGTTTGACTCAATACTGGCATAAGAAGTATAATTTTGTGTTTGGAAGAGGCAGTTTTAATCAGAGCAGATATCAGAGAAGTGAATGGAGAACAGTAACAACTAACGGCTGGGAGACATATTGTACACCTGATGCGGAACCATTGCATAAACAACAACCCAAAATGATATCCCCGAGAACTGAACAACTGGTGACATTTGTCGGATAAGAATCTACCTGAACTTGCGTGAAACCCATGTCCATCATCATATCCACCGAACCGGCATCCATTTCCGGTGGAATTCCCTGAGCAGATGGTCCAGTGGTTGTGCGTGCCGAATTGTCGATCGGGTCGTTCAGGTCTGGATCATCCATGTGTTCCATAATCCAATTTGTCGCTGCTTCCAACGATGTATTTCCCGTCTGTAAACAGGCTCGATGACATGCAGGTTGAGAAAAGCCCATGGATATCAACTCGTTAAGTATCTCTGGATTTGGTTTCGGTTGGGTTGTCTCGGAAGCTGCAGAAAAGGCACAGATAAACAAGATTAATGACCCTTGAGATATGCTACAAAAAGAATCAGTTTGCATTAGAACATAATCCCAACAAAATTGGTTTTGGATTTTCAGTTAGTCTCTATCCGTCTTGTCTTGTACTTTAATCTACAACAAGGATAGCAATCAAGAATAGTGGCGCTCACCGGGTGTTTCCTCTGAGTTTACTAACGGTTCTTCGCCCGGTTGAAGACCCCCACGACTCCGCAAAGCGGAAAGATCAATTTTAAACGTATTTTCTGGGTTTTCAGTTTCCGAGTCGCTGGACTTTAGCTCGATTTCCACATCAAGCTTCCGAGGTAGCCAGTCCGCCCCGACTGTGTACTTGGCCAGTTGTACGCATAAATAATCAGGAAAGTTAGCAAGTCGACTGGAACGAAGCGCATAAGTCATCTGTCCAGGTGGTTCACTGGCAGGAGTACGGAAATCATCCACGCGCTCTGTCTGAGCCCACGAAGCGAGACAGGCCTGAAAAGAGGGTGGTAAGGATAGTAGCCCCGGTAGAAACAATGATGGTGGCAGGCATCCAAGGTCATTTGACGAACAAATGGGTAAAGATTCAAAGAAGGAGTTCGATCGAACTCATTGCAACAGAGTAAGTGATGAAGAAATGACTGCAAACTTGCTTCCAGGTCATTATCAATGGAACCAGGATTATCATTGATTAAGAAGGCATACTACTGATGAAGTCCTTAGTTGTCAATCATCATCATCGTAAAGCGGAATACAGCGAAGCGGACTTCATTAATCGCTGCCAAACTCGCAATGCATACAAGATTACTGGTAAAATTTAAGGTGGACCTATTTTGAAGGAGGGATCGAATGATGAACTTCCATAGTCAACACACGGAGTACGCAACCTAAGTGTGCATACATACCGTTTCAAGCATTCTGATGTGACGAGAAATGACAACGGGGACGCCACTGCTGTTGGTTGGTTGCCATAGCCTTCGATCCTCCAAACAACCAGTTGCAGAGTCTTTAAAACCCCAACTCGGAAGAAAAGACACATCTACTCTATCTAATGGCTCCGTGAATTTTTTCGTTCTTGGTCTCCACATCAGCTGTTGACTTACACGTAGTGTCCTCCAACCCGGAGCACTTATAGTCTTTCGTTGCGTAATTTACTATGCTGAATCGTTGGAGTAAGAAAACAAATTGTTCAGTGATTGGACTCGGTGACCTTAGTCCTGGAAATGAGGATGGTGAGCCACAATAAACCTAAAACACAGCCTGCTACTCGGGTTTGTGAAACGCAGATGAGAACAGAATTACCGTTCGAGCAGAATCCATAACATAAACTGCCCGGATTACTCCGTGTGGATCGCAGTGATGCGCATTCCTGACCGACTCGGACAGTAGTAGGAGAATGAAAGATAATTCTATAGCTAATGCGGTTCACGACTGAACATTCAGTTTCAGTTTCAGTTTTACAACCATTAACCATGCACTTTCGTGCG